AGATTAGTCTCTTTACCAGAAAAATAATTCCTTATTAATATAAATATTTCTAAAATGTGCGCTCCCCTCAGAATAACAAGCGCTGATGCCTTCTGAAGCTGGTGAAGGCTAGTGGCAAGCAAAGCTAATCCGACTATGAACCGTGGAATTTTAACTGAGCAAACATGTTGACAAGCACTTTGCCAGCTGAACCTTAAAAAAAGGTTGAAACATTATGAAGAATAGAGAGACATTGTTACCATTAAAGTAAATGAGCAACCATGCTGTGATCCTCAACACATTCATGCTAGCAAGATGGTCCATAAGGTAGTGAGTAATTCTAGGAAGTGGCAACAAAGCAGAGTCCCATGGCATGTTGATACCAAGCACCAAGTTCTCGGCTATGGAAGCAGGACTCTGAGAAGCAGCTATCACTGACATGTATTTTTGCTGTGCAGGTTTTCATGTCAGAGGTGAGTGGATCTTACATGAGATCTCAAACATCCCCAACTTTACAAAGTATGCCACATGATTTATAGGTGTTTACCATCCAAAGATTTAAACAAGTAGTATGCAGCACTGAAGTTGGCCATCATTGAGATAGACAGCATGACTTAAGAGCTGCAGCAATGGATCAGTAAGTACCATACCCAGTTCTGCCACTAACCTTGTTGGATCACTTTACATATTAGTTTGAACATATTTTGTTGTTACTATCTTCTGTCCTGTCTGGATGCCCAAATGCAAAACTGGGAAACTTTTCCTTTTCATCAAAAATGCTATCTCCCTAAACTGGCCTCTATTCAGTGACTGTATAATACATCAGAAATTAAATCTGTACTATCAGCACATACTAGCCTGCATATCAATGAAAGCGTACTTGATCAACCACCAGATTTTAAAATTTACTATAATTCCTATTTTTATCATTTCATATATTTAAAAGTATCATACAACAAGTTAGTTAACTCTTTATAATATACTTTCAAAATAAATTGAATATTACTCCCATAACTCATATGGAGAACTGAGGGAGAAAAGGCTGAGCAACCTACAGGGACTCATACAAGACAACATATTTCAGTACATCACCAGAAACAGAGCTTCTGATCCTTGTCCACACCTCAGACCACCCTACTTTTTTGCGGCTATGGTACAATTTGAAGGTCTATTTTCTCACATCAACAGCTCTACTCATTTGCTGTAAAACTTATTATAACATGACATACTAATTTCATGTGATACTTTAGTTCCGCTATGTTTATTTTCGATGTTAGGTATGACAATGACTGGCATTACAGATTTTTAAGAATGAATGTTTGTGTGCTTGACAAAATGCCAAGCAGAAGTGCTAGCACCTGCACATGTCCATATACTGGGAATTGAACCAAGAATGCCAACACAAGCCAGATGCTGTTTTCTTTTATACACAAATATTTTTTTCAAACATTGAGTTACTTCTGCTCTTTCAGAAAGGTAGCAAAATCCATAATACTGAAGATTTAACAACTGGCTACTATATTTACAACAGACAGCTATATTTGGCATTACTAACAGCTTTGCTATTATTTGTTTCAAAAAGGCTGCATAAATTACATGCTCTCTACCTTAGTTGTGATTTTATTATGCTTTACCAAATTTTTCATCCACAATCTATTTTACACATTTTTTAGGCAGATCAATACATTGATTGTTAATGTGGTGATACTCATCTAATCATGGCACCTAACGAAGTATTAAAATTCTACTTATATCTCTTCCAAAGAAAAGGCAAAACAGCTAATTTAAACAGTTGTTTGCACATTCAGTATTTATGACAGGAATCCCACATGACTGGTTGATAGCAGCAAGTTAGAAAGTTTAGCTCAGCTGATACCAGCAGTGATGGACGACCTTGAAGAAATTCTTGTTTGCTGATCAGATCAATCACTGAACAGAATGCAAAAGAGGATGAGGCTCAAACTAAATTCATGTTTCCATCTCCATGCAGAATGGGAAAGGAAGAAATGTACCATAAAGCATCGTGTGCTGCTATTACAAAAACTTGGCAAAGTGTTTTTTATATAAAGTAAATTTGATGGCTTGGTATGCTATCAATTTTCACTTGAAGCTACTCAAAGATTCAGTAGTAAGTAGCCAGATTATGTAAGAAACCATCTTCAAACATTAAACTCCAGGAAGCACCAGACAATCAATATTGTGTCCACAAACAAGCAAGAGATTCCTTTCAAAATGCCTGAAATGAAAAGAACTGAATGGCAGTCATGTGAAGCAAGAAGGACTTGTCTTCATTACTTACTGGATTATCATGAGTCTGCTAGGATAAAAATACACTGTTTATTTTGCAAGTCTTGAAGGAGTTTATAGGTACATCAATAAGTTACAGTTGATTTCTAATACAAAACTTAGTAGTAAATTTATTTTTAAAGAAGTTTTATTAACTTCTGCATACAGTTGCACTAAGTGGAGAACAAATGAGATTGTTTCATTACTTAATTGCTTATGTTATAATCAAATCATGCTTATTCTGGTAATTACATAAGTTCATCAATGCATTCAAAGTAACTGGAGCTACTTAAAGATGTATAGGCCTAAAAAGTACAGTTACACTGACTTAAACATCTATTCTTTTGTAAAAAGTATATGGAAATGTATTAAGTGAGATTACTTCATCCACATAGACGCTGAAATCACTGCACCTAAGAGAAGCAGAGAGAATTAGGATTTGTATCAGGCTCTGATAATACTAATTTAGAATCAGGAAAGTTGATGAAAAGAAAAGTGAAAAATAATAGTTATAATTATTTAAATATAGCAAATTTATATAGTAAATATAGTAATATAGTATGTTTACATAAACTATATATAGCAAATACAAAATACATGTATTTAAATTTATAGAAGTACATAAGAATATTATAGAAATAAATACATATATTGTTATAAGAGGGACATAGTAACAGTGGGAACGGGAAGTAGCCAGAAAAGGTGAAGAAAACAAAGTCTAGGTATGAGCTGGAAAGAGAAAGGGCAAAGAAAGTTGGGAGAGGTGGTAGAAAATTAGAGCTCTCATCAAAAAAGCAAGTGATGAAAAAATGAATAGAAAAGTGGAGAAGAGGTTCTTGTTAAGAGGTATAGATGGGTGGCAAGTACCTAAAAGAATCAAACTCAATACAACACTATAGAAAATCTGAATTCCTGTACCTGTCACTAAGTCTCTGACATCTGTCTACAGAATGCCTATGAGAAGCAAATCTATGTACTTGGCTTCTGTTTACTGCATATCCTGTTTGTTTTGTCCCTTTTGTTACACACTTCTGTGTAACCAGAACTACTTCAAAGAACAGAAAAGTCAGTGTGATTTGACACCCAAAGAAGCTCTGTGTTGCAGGAAAAAAAGGGTAGCTTTAAAGTCGTGTATGCTTACATTAGAGATACCTTAATATCTAAACAAAAAAATTATTCGAAGTGAAGTTAAGAAATAAAAATAACTACCTTGAAAGGAAAACAAACAGAAAATGTATGAAGGCTGTGGTAGGAAGAGAAATAAAAGAGAAAGGGAAGTTGCTTGAAAACCTGCAGTTTTCTGGTCTGTTCAACAATTACCAGCTTTCCTGCCAACAGTTTCTCACTTTAAATTAGTAAAACGTTAGTATTTTCTGCACCAAGATATTGATGCATAGAGTCAAAGCTGTCTTTAAAACAAGTATTTTGAGCCCAGTGTTCTCTCTCAAATTTCCATGCTCCACAGAGAAGCAAAGAGTCTCTAGTGAAGATCTGTGCTAAATAAGTTAATTTATCCTTTCAAGATTTTCTCAATGTTCAGATTCTAAACTAATGTTAGAAATTATACATGCCACGGAGGAATGTATAATATTACCAACATGATGTAGGTTATAAATGCCTGCTAACTCAAACCACTGAGACGAATATACCTGCATTGATTGTTATAAATCCACTGATGAATTTTGATAAATATGACTTGATTCACACTAGCATATTATTTGTTAAAATAACAAAATATTCCAAGATGACTCTACTTACGTGAAGGCACAGAATATAACAGAATTACCCGAGAACATAAAACAGCACACCATCCTCATTTCATGAAATAGATTATTCACATTATAATGAACACTGTTTCTCTACTACAGTATAGCTGGAATGATATTTTCCTCAGCATCTCATTTTGTCCTCTTTGACTTAAACCGACAAGAGCTGTTTCCCCTTACTCCAGACACAAGAGACTTCATACAACCAAGAAAAGCTGACACCTATGTGTACAGATTAATGCAAAGTTACAGAAAGACAAACAAAAATACAATTCTGCATTGACTTTACTCAGTTTAATTGCATATCATTTAACCCATCTTTTCTTGTGGAGTTTCTAATGGTATAATATTTCTTTTGTTAATCCAAATCTTCAGTGTTCTACTGGCTACAAAGCTGAATGGGTTGTGCTGGTTCTACTCGGGGGGAAGTGTTGTCCAATGACTGACAATTGCCCAAGTTTAAAACTATTAAATCATTCCACATCGAACTATTAAAAGTCTGTTTCAGCTGTACCTCTTTCCTTACAGTATGGACATAATTATACCAATTGAGCACTCCATTTGTTGCTCTAGCTTTTTACCATTTGGTTGGTTGGGTTTTTTCTCCCCCAGTTATTAGAATATATATTTCTTTTCGCCCTGAACCAAAAGGCCCTGAAATAGTTATTTATAAATCTCTTAGGAATTTTCAGGAGACCCTTATGAACCAGTATTTTAGTACATTTGATAAATTCATGTCTCATTTCTTCAGATTTTTCACCATCTTCATTCATGATTTTTAGAGTTTGTTCTGTCTTCAAAGGAATGTCAGTATTTAAACCATCCAAGAAATAAGTAATTAAGCTAGTGGGATTATTCTTATTGACTTGATAAGTCACCACACTAACGCAAAATCTGCCACCACAATTAATAGCTGCAATCAGGCATTCACTTTACATTAAGTATTCAAGGAAGTTCTATGCATCTTACAGTAACTCAGTGGAGAAGTCTTGTCCCAATGGCACAAAAATCTGAAGTGTCAGAAATTGCTGGATCAGTCCCACTAGAAACAGGAAAAAATTAAATACATGTACTGTGTGTGCGTGCACATTTTACCATAAAGCATTTCAATTTTGTACCATACAGCTACGCTCCTGCAGCACTATTTCCCAAGGTTCACACAACATATGAACACGAGAAAAACCTGAAGAAAACCAATTCAAACTGCAATAAGTGTTGTTTTATAAGTCCCATCTGTGGCTTTGGTGGAATTCTCATGAAAATAAAAGGAACCTTTACTTAAAATTCTACATTGTGTTCCAAGAGCATGTAGACACCACATATCCCATAAGAATTATAAAATAAAGTAATACTTTCCTACCAAGATTATCTTGTAGTCATATGAAACTTGCACTCACGTTCGTGACAATATACACCTTAAACAACTTCAAAAAACCCTTGGGTAAAAAAGCAATCCAGATCATGACAACAATGCTCAGTGGAGGCTTCTGATTTTTAGAACAATAGCAAAGGAGCTTAACCAAGGGAAGAAACACAGGAAATTTTTCAGGATTCAGGTGGCTCCCTATCAAGGGAAAACAGATAGTACAAAGCCGTCTGAATTGAACCATATGTTGTTTTCTTAGTTATTTCATCAGGGAGGGTATGGGCTGCTCTTCATTGAGCTAAGACTCAGCAGCAACATTAGCTCCTCTTCTAAAGAATGCCAATTCAGAACTTCCTTCTTTTGCAGATCAAATGACACTTTAAAATTTCAAATTATATTTGTATATATAATGTCTCTTATTTTAGAAGAGTATTCAAAGATTCCAGTACAACTGGGAGATTGTATACTTGACATAAATGAAATACTTGAGGTACATACACCTCGAGAGAAAGAGACAGAGGGAGACAGAATGTTAACAGATGGAAATTTAACTGTAGTATTGCAGCACTAGCTAAAGTAAATTTAAAACCAAACTATTCTTAGCAGTGATAATCTACAACATTACTTCTCAATCCTCATTTTAGGCTGTAATAGTTTATTGTAACATTGGCAATAAACAAAGTTAGATTTCTCAGAAAGACACATTAGACTAATATTTATTATACTGAAGATAATAGTAAATTTGTTTTATAAAAATCAGATTAATCTTCAAGGCCTTAATGCATGACCAGGCTATATAATTTCTTATTTATTTCTTGTGGTTGTTTGGAAAAACTAATTTGTAATTATATACCCTGTATGAGAAGTATACTAGAAGATTCCTGTTTCATTTGACTAAAACCACCACTTCAATTTTTCTTCAAAAGCAAGCACTTAATTCTAAACCAGCTCGATTCATTACTACAAGCCTTACAAGGTAAAATACCCTGCAGCGGCGTTTAAGGCATAAATTATGATGATTGCTGTATGCCCCAAGACACAGACTGCTTTGATTCTGGTTTATTCTGGTGTAAGTAATAGACAACCTGGGGAAATGCTCCATACTACCCGAAGACTGATTACATAAACGCAGCTGAAATTTGGGTACAGCTTCCTAGTGCTTATTTGACACATAAAAGTAAAAATACTTTAGAAAGCAAAATGAGAAAGGGGACAGGAACCTATTTCGCATTCTGTAATGCCAATAGAATTGACTTTAGTAAGTGCTGAATGGAGTCAGAAGTTATTTGCCAGACAGTCTGTAGCAGGATCAGGTATAGAAGTGAACCTAGCAGCACTAGGACAACATGTATCAACAAGGATCTTCCCTACAGCACTTACTTTAACATGGCATTCCTATACCTTTTACTTATTTGTAACCGACCTGCTAAAAATTACTGAAAAACCACTTTGCTAATGCTGAATTATGCCCAGAGTAAGGGAGAATAATGTAAGTTCTACATTCCAATATAAGACTGATTTAATAGTCAGAACAACAGACATTTAATTCTTTAATTCTACTTTTAATTCATTTAATTCTACTTACAAGTTTGTCTAGTTTCCTTTGGTAGCTGCATTTTGTTGATTTGACTGCTTCCTTTCAGTACAAAAACAAAGCCTTTTACTTCTTTATCATATTCCTACAAAAAGGAACAAACATAAGTATCTTGAATTCTCCTCACAACCAACCATGCTACTAACATGCAAAGCTACTTTTTAAAAATCACAAATGGCAGACAGCACTGCAAGTATACCAGTAGTTCAAATATGATGTTAATAATATAATCCATAGAAATATGTCCTTTACTTGCATGTTTTATGAACAAATAATGCTGACAAACAGGACTCATGATCCAATGGGCCCAACTCAATCCATTAGTTATCAGAATAGCGAAATTACTTTCTAAATATTTAAACTATAAAATTACACTGTGACCAACCTAGTCTGCAAGCAGGCATAAAGAACTAATTTAAGTAGTCATTTAGTCTGTCATAATGACAGAACTGCAAGTAACAACTCCACTGTCAGGTCAAAACCCTCATTACCTTCCAATTTTAAGCTTCATTCACATTTTTGTTTTATACTCTAGGTTTTATAAGTTCCTTTAAAAACTTACTTTCCATATAGCTGACGGATTGCCAAAAATCTTCCATTTTGCTCCTGGGTTCTTGCCTTGAGCACTGAATATTTCAACAAATGGGCCACCCTATGATAAAATGGTTTAAGGATACATCATCCAATCAAGTGTTCAGCACTGAATCATCAATGGTCAAGATGAGTACATAAGAACAATCCCTCTCCACATCAGTCTGTTACTACAGTCAGTATTACTGATCAGTCAGACAGCAGAATACTAATAACAGCTTCTAGACTACTATAATACAGCAATCCATATAGTCAATATTTGGCTTTACTAGAGGATCAGAACATAAAATTGAAGGAATACCATGGAATATTTTAAATTATTTTATTTATGATGTCATTCTCTAAAAAGCAAAATTATTGTAAAAATTCTAAAACATGCAGGAGATTGATAATTTATATTTGGACATGGTTTATTTCTACAACTCACCAAGTGAAGTGAGTTTTAAAACATACTGCTAAAAAAATAAAAATGTTGCAGATTGAATATTTTGTCTGATTTCCTATGGAATTGAAGTTTACACAATCTGTCTACATATATGAATGAGTTTGGCTCTGTCTACATATGTCAATATGTCAAAGACATTTCCCAGTAACTTTTCTACTAGTTACCAAATTCCAGTCTGATTTGACCAAACAGTCTGGGAAACTGACGAAAATTTACTGTCTTTTCTGGGCCAACTTAAGTGGCCTCATAGTAGATCTGATCCTACCAGTATCACCATAAAAAGTTAAGGGCTGTACTCACACTGTAGCCTTCATGAGGCATCAGAGAATTAATACTGGAGAAAGATTATGAATGCCCCTGCCAGGTGAAAACTCTTTACACAGAGCATGTGCCCTATTAGACATCAAAGAATCTAACCATAGGCTCTTGGGGAGGTAGGTTCTCATCTCTGCTTTGGGAATTATTTGCTTCAATATTTTTCTCATTCGATGTCACATTTTTTGTGACATCTGATGTATTCAGCCTATAGTTTGATAAGCATTCTTTCAGCAGCATGGTTGACCTAATCAATCATTACAACTCTGATGCTCCCTTCTCATTCCTAGTTGCCTGCACTTCCCAATTCTCTTTATGCTCAGCTGCCCAAACAATTGCACACAAGTCAGAATGAGCAAGAGGGGTGAGCAGTCTTGTCAGCAAAATAAATGCTCTTCAAATTATGCTTCCAGAGAACATCAATGCTGCACTGTATAGGAATTAGGTATTTTCCTCTGCCCACCCATACCTGGCAGCTACCAGTCACATGGCTAACCCCAGTGACTAGACTTACTAAGTTCTAAAGAGATTCAAAATGGCATTCCATAAACTGCATTTGTGAAATATTTTTTAAATTTATAATGGATAAAAGAATTTAAAAATATGGCATACTATCAATTTGAACGTTATCTGACATATTTAAGGACTACAGGATCAAGCTCTTGGAACATTAAAAAATATTCTTAACTTGCCAAGTTGTATATGCTTGTAGCAAATCTTAAACAAGTGGCTTTTTCTCCCATATTTACAAGTATATTTTGTTAATACTGCAGCCCTTGAGTAGGCCCTGTTTTGAGGTTAAACTAACTAAACAGAACATGGAAAACTACTGGACATGACATGAGAAAATGATGAACAAACACTAATGCGAGAAGCTGACAAAAGTTACTTAGTGCTGTGGAAGATGGCTGGATCTTATGGGTGGCCAAGGGGGAGTTAAGCAAGAAACTGTCAAACTCCACAATCAATTGGAGGAGAGTATGGGGCATCTTTTGGGGAGCACAATCCTGCAAAGCCAACAAGCACCTAGGCAATGGTATCAGAAATACCATATAAAACTGAGATAGCCTACGTAACAGCATCAGAAATACCAATTTCGGGTACAGATGTAGCACATCTGGGATCAGTGGGGAAAAAGTAACTAGGGGTGGGTTGCTCTCTCAGGAGGGGACTGGGGCAGAGAAAGCAAGGCAAAGCATGGTGAAAAGGCAGGCCAGGAAACAGTACAAGGGATAAGGTTTGCGAATGATGTGACTAGTGTTGTCACAATCCTGTGCTGGACCAAGAGAATGAACCAACTCCCCTTTTCTGACTATACCTTAAGAGTTGGGCCTGCTTCCATGACTGGGTGGGAGCAGATGGTGTGCCTTCCCTGGCCCACAAGAGAAGGCACACCAGGCAAAGCCATTGGTAACACCATGTTGGTGTCCATTCTAGACCTGACAGCATCAGCAGCTACCCACTATTTTATAACATTTCTATAAAAATACTGAATAATGAAACATTCCAAAACATTTCTGTATCTGGACTTTCTGCCCCCCAGAATAAGCCATTTTAATTGAGTTCTCTCAGAGGTGAAATGGAATAGGGTAAAAAAATTATTTCTGTTTTACCTGATACTGATTTTTGAACATTTTCCAGCTTTCACAGGCTAAAAATAATTTCAGCTTCTCAATCAGTAAAGACACTTACAGACTATGCTGAAAAAAAACCAAAAAACTTTATATAGGATTTGACATGAAAAAATCCTACAATGAAATCCCAACCATATTTTAAAAGATATGCATACTATTATGAAATACTTTAAATGAGTACAGAATGTATATCAACTGCATCAGAGTGCTACCACAAAGGAATTAAGATAAAAAATATTAATATTGATGCTGTCTTGGAAGACATTCTCTTCGTGCATCAAGTACTCAGGGCTGCCTTTCCTTATATTCCAAGTAAAACTAGTAATTTTATGTCAGCCCTTATTTTTAGCCATGAAGGCTTTGCCATGCTTTAAAAATGCTTGAAAATCATCTTTAATACACATTTTTTAAGTTATTCTTTGTTATCCAGTGCCCACTGGGAAACATTAGACTCCATTAAAGAGAAGCTTAACATTTAATATAGAAAAAGAGAAACATATGGAACAGCTGCAATAGAAACTCTTCCATCTAGAGATATTTGGCAGAGACTTCTGAGACAAGTTATCTTCTTTCACATTCAGCATTCTTCTTTGAGGATGATTAGTCTAAGACTCAAACCAAGCACTTCAGTTATTTGAGGGCTGCTAAAGTCAATGTGAATTAAGAGATGTCTGCAGTTGGAGAATCAGAACAGAAGGTGAAGGGACTGATACTGGAAGCCTCCCACATCCCTCTTTGATCATGCTGAGCGCCTGCAATTTCACCTGAAGCCAACAGAAAGTAAAGGGACCCTGAACATAAAAGGTAGTTGTCAGTCTCCAAAGACAGGTAGAATCATTCACAAGAGACAACATGCACCTTCACTGTGGAACCTGAAAGTGCTCATCAACTCAGAAAAATCTTTTCACAAGACTGTCTCATTTATTTGATATACTTTGTTTATGTTCATTGCTTTAGTTCAGGCACAGACCACTTAAAGAATTAAGTTATTTTTAATTCCTGGAATTTTTTTGAGCCTGAAACCATTCTCTTAACAGATAAAAACAATATGCTGACCAGAAGAATATAAGTATAGCTTCTCATAACGAACAGCTTAGCTCTCACAACCAGAAAATGAAAAAAATTTTAAAAAATTTATAAAAAGATATATGACTGCAAATGAACTAGAAATTCAGTAACAATATGCATAAGTTCATAAACAATGTACACATTTAAAGGATTAGAGCAGCTTTCTATTTTAAGAAGGATATCATCATTCATTTAGGAAAGCGTGATGAAATCTATTGATGTTTAACTGCAATTATTTTAATCAGCAACAATTATTTTAAGTCTTAAAGTTGTCTGCAAATGAAATAAAAATAGAAAAAATCAGATATTAGAAATTTATCCCATGTTGATTATAAGGAAAATGAAATTTAGAAACCATAGCATTTGTAACAGGCCTATCAAAAACCATAATTAGTATTTTGATCATATTACTTTAACATTGCCACTGCACATCTAGCACACCAGTTGCTTTATTCTGCATTTTAGACCATTTTCTATATAAGTTTCCCACTTGTTCAGTTGGCATAATTGTTTTTAAGAATGACTACATTAATAGCTATATTGAACTATTCTGAATTATGAATTAGACATTTTAGAAAAGCCTTTTAAGGAACACACTTCTAAAGCCAGTGTATTATTTCTTCCTTCTGTATACATTCACTTTACGTAGAGAGCAATCCCTTTTGGAAATCACTGTTTGTTCACTTTTTTGTCTGCAGCTCTATCTTTGCTATTATCTACAGGCTTTAAACAAGCCAGAACTACTCAAAATTGCATGATTTATGTGTTAGTGACAAGTAATGGCACCGTGGAACTAATCTCAGAGTGACCTACTGTTTTGATTCACTTTGCCAGAGCTAAATGTGAAGGACCAGTAGTGAAAGACAGGCAGAAATCATGCCCTCCTAGGGTACATATTTACAATGAGTGTATTACTGTAACTCACATGGTGAGGCACTTGCCCTTCTAGGAGTAAGGATTGCACCATCCCCCCATTTTTATTTATTATTAAGTGAAGGAGGTGAGAAAGAAGACACTGCTTTTTCCTTGGAGCAAAGTCCTTTCACTTACTTTTGCTTTAAAAAATCAGTTCCAGATCTGCCAAGCATCATGCACCTAACGCAACCCTCACATATTTTGTAGTTCTGTTATGCCTTATTACATCTCAGGGAAAACTATTAAGATTAAATACATGTGAGGGATCCTGATGTAAGAGTCACTGTATGAAAAGTATAAAGTTCTGAGATTGAAAAGAATAACTCATCTCTTTTAGAGACTACTACCAATATTCTGGTCAGAAGTCTTCTGCTGACTATAATCATAGTATATATTTTGGAACAAACATTTAGTGGGTAGTACGTAGAGGCCAAGTTTCATGTTCATTACCATACCATCTTTCAGGATGGGAAAGCTAAAGCTACTTAGCAAGGTGGACAGCTACAGTATATGCAGACACTGCTGTAGTCAGAATTACACAAAAGACATAGAAAGTAATACTTTATGAGAACACAGTGAAGAAAAGTGAAGTATACCTGGCTTTCATAACAGCCAGTCCACTGATGGCACGCCACACAGGGTTTTGAAGGAAGATGCAAATAGCTCTGTATACAGTGCAAGGTGTGTGGAAGCCATATTGATACATTACCTTGGGTTCAATATTGTGCTAATACACTTTGCCTGTCAGCATGCCTTACTAGCTTTGGCTTGACATCACTAATTTATCTCCATACCACGTTGTATGGAAATAGTTCTCAGTTGGCTCCGAGCACAGAAAGAACATACATGCACTGGTAAAACACCATGAAGACACACACTTATCACAAAAAACTTCTGCTACTAATTAATTCTTAAATTTAAGTGGAAGAAGCATGTGACTGAACTGAAAAGTTCTCATTCAAATGATACACTTAAGATAAAAAAAGATGATCAAATAATTAGAGATTTTCATAATGGATCACAGAAAGGGTAGAGAAATATATGAAGAGAGAACATCTAGGAAGTATGTGGTACTAAAAAGAAACAAAACTGGGGTGATGAACTTACTGAAGGACTAGAGATTTATTACTATCACTAGAAATCTTCAAATTTCAAATTGTCAAATAAAGTTCACTCTTACAATACAGCTTAAAATTTGCCACCAATGCAGTTGTTTTTTAAACTGACATACATATGGGCAAGCTAGGTTATTTACTAATTTGCAGAACATATTTTATACAGACTCAGAAAACTGATGACCTCTAACTATCAAATTCATAACAAGATGGCTCCTCCTAACTTTAATGAAAGTAAGCTAGACCTGAAGTTTGTAAGCATTTGTATTAGGACAACTCATTCACACTACAAAGCTGATTACTGTAAACACATCAGTGAAATGTCAGTTTGTTTTTCATAAAGGCAAAAAATACTGCAAGTGACACTGCAATACATTTTTGCTCATATATTGCTTACTTGTAACTTCCCAATCTTCATTAAGTTACTACAAATGAAGACTAGAAATTACCTTTGCTATTAAGATTGGTAGCTGCTAAAAACATTAAGTGAATGACATAGTTGTCATGTAATTACTGAGATAATATTAAGAGGTGCTTTCATTATGCATCAAGTATCATTGTCTTTAGTTATAGTAACCTATGCTTAAAAACAAAAGAGAATGGTCTGGAAAAATTGATAGCTGCAATATTTTTCCCCTTTTCATCTCTCCTCCTCCTAGCCTCTCCAGAAATTCTAAAAATCAAAAGTGCTTAAAATCCAGAGGGACTATTTTAGAAAAATCAACAACATCTTGAAATATAAATCCTCAATTTTTTGATACTTGTCAAATAAAGAGATATTTTATGACATCTTTATAGAATGCCATAAAGTAGCAGCAGTTCTCTCATTTTTCAGTCACAGATCAAACTTATTTTTTTATTGCCCTGAACCATATACTTTAGTACATCTGTCCAACTGGAAATACAGGCTTAAAGTATCAGTCAGCGACAAACCATCAAGAACGTAGTTTATAAAGTTAAGCAACAGTGAAAGATATTTATCTTTGGAAAAATAGATTCCTATCAGGATTTACCTTGTGAGGTCTTGATTTCTGCACTGACTTTGATCATTAGTTTCACAATGTTTCCCACACCAAAAATAAAGTAGCAGCAGTCCAAAGCGCCCTCTAATCCTTGCATTCACACAAACCACTTAGAACCCTGCAAAAATATCCCCATCCTAGGACATCTTCTTATGTATATTTTTTCTTCAAACTAGAATGTTTCACATTCAAATATTACCATAATATTTTGTGTTTATGTAGCCCCACAATTCAAACAATTGGTCCCTAGTAAGTTACAAGCAAAAGAGTATTTCACAAACAGTAAATGCAAACAGACATTCAGGCTTCTTTAAATTACTTAATACTAAGCACTGTTGTAACCCCAAGGGAGATAGGGATGGACAGACTCAGAGTCCCCAAAACCTTTGTAGTCATGATTAGTCCCTTGACTTAGAAGTATGAACACATTTTTCTGATCAACATCCCAGTGTTTAAAAAGCTGTGTTTATTTAAGATTTTCTATTCCAAAGTCAAAAGTGTGAAGCAAAATAAAGTGAATTTGCACCTGCTACTAACTTGCATTGAAAAACGACACAAATACACTATTTTTTGCAGGGAACATAGGCTTAGACCCAAGACTGTTAATACATGTAACTCACCATCACAGGCCCAAAGCCAGTGCTGATTTATGGTAGGCTGGGACACACCAGAGAAAGCAGTTCATCACTGATGAAGGGTTTTAGTATCTTCTAGATAAATGAATTCCACATATTGAATAGTTAAAGCTGGGTTTGTAACACTGCTATATATTTTCTCAAAATACAAGTTAACATAGTACATGGGCAGAAAGACCATTAATAAACTATACCAAGACTACTGGTGTTCTTATGTGAAAAGTGGCACAGCCAGCCTTTACACA